GACACGGAAGCCAACGTATATTTTCAGTTGATGAAACCTCTCTCTCTCTCTATATATATATATAGTTTATATTCTTTAAACGATCACTGAGCGTGTGATATTTTTTGTTTTCCTTCACGTTCCCCAGTGGATCATAGGGCTTCAAGCTAGTGGCTTGAAGTTTCTGCACAAGTGTTTATTTTACAGGATGGGGTTGCTAGCCTCATGCCCAACCTTTCCTCTTTACCAGCATTATTTCTGGCTTAGCGAGGTAGAGGAGTGCGTCTGTGGCCGGGGATCGAACCCCGGACCATGTGCATGGTCGGCGAGCGTCCTAACCGCTATGCCACCGACGCACAGAGCGTGTGATTTTGGTTTATATCAAACGACATGAAATAGAATGTTCAAATACGTATATAGTATTCTGTTGCTAATGCAGTATTGATCTGTGGGAATATGTGAGAATAATATTCCATTGGTAAACACATTGTCTGTATCACAACACCACAATTTTATTTTAGAATCTGTGATACAAAGTGGGTGACTTTTGAGTTTAACAGACCTTTGTTAGTTGGTATACGTTTCAAAGGTCACGGGTCAGTCTCTAATAGTTCACATGATAAAGTATTGTAACAACGGAAGACAAGGGTCGGGCAACTCACCATAGTATTATATCATAACTGATTGGCATAAGGGAAGAATATGACCTTGAGATCAAGACTTGTCATTAATTAACTTAGTCTTTGACTGTCAATATCAACCACTCACCGACTTCACCGACCCCTAGATTAGAAATAGGAAGTGAAGTGGTAGAGCACGTTGACCGCTTCACTTACTTGGGAAGTACCATCATCCAGTGCTAACGGGTTGATCTCCGACGAAATCTCAGCACGAATACAGAGGGCTAGTTTCGCATATGCCAGTTTACGCCGTCCCTGGCTTAGTAGACGCGATATCCGACTATCGACCAAAGGGCGTGTGTACTGCTCAACAGTCCGCTCCGTCCTCCTTTATGGGTGTGAGACCTGGCCATTGAGAGCAGAAGACATGAAAAGATTAGCTGCCTTTGATCATAGGTGTCTGCGTTCTATCTCCCGTGTGAAGTGGTATAATAAGGTGAGCAATATTGAGGTTAGGCTTTGGTCGAGTGCTAGGTAAGGAGGGGAAATCAATAGACTAGGCTGTAAAATTACATCGACTGAGATGGTTAGGACATGTCTTACGTATGCCTAGTCATCGCCTTCCTCGACAATGGGCAATGTTAGCTGATATAGGGTCAGGCTGGAAAAGAGCTAGCGGCGGTCAAACCAAAACATGTCTTCATCATTCAATGAAATCTACAACAGTTAGTCTAAGCCACGTAGGAAGGTGTAGATTTCCTGACTGGTTGGGGTCCTCGGGACGGTAAAGTGGCTGGCTTTTGTTATCATTTAGATTCATTAAATTCTCATTATTCTTTAGGAACCTATTCTTTAACTTGTAAATTCTTTTCTAATATAGTCTGAGTAAACATCTACTTCCTACCTCTGTGTATGTGCTTTCACTGAGTGTGATTATTCACATCTGTGAATTTGTGAGTTGCAGGTAACAAGAAGATCAAATTCAAAAATTTGCAAAGTGGTTAGCAATCCACGATCTATACAGTTCAAGAGGTGAAATTTTCACTGCCGTTACCTTTGGAAACCAAGTTATGCAGATCACAATACTTGATCTGCTTTATACCATAAATGGTAAATAATCAATAAAGCAAGTATGGATTGCAAATTGTAAGTCTAATTTATGGCATAACCAGTTCAGCCAAGTAGCTAACCAGAAATCAAGTGGTTTGTAATGATTTGGCTGCCTCTGTGACCTGAATCAAACCAGATACACCGCTGATGAGTTCGGCCCCAAACGAAAGAAAAGGCCATCTGGTGTGTAGATAGCTTCGATCTGGCTGGCTAGCAAGCACTACTCATTGATATGAGTGATATGTGACTACTCATCTCATTTAATCAGTAGTACATAGGTTTATGCAAACAAGAAGAAGAAGCCAATAAAAAGAGCTTCAGGAATTTCATTTCGCCTTTTTTTCAATCAGTGTGATTTAGGGACAAAAAAGGTTATAGAAAACTTAGATATGATTGATAATGGTTATTCATGAAATGAATGAGTTAAAGTTATATTCATATGATTAAATTAGTTAAAAATATCGATTTGTAGTTTATTTTTATATTTTTCTGTATTTTAGATTGAACACTAGTCAGTAACTAGTGTAATGTGTCTAGTCTTTTGTTCGGTGGATACTGAATTCTGTCAGTCATTAGGCCACATTGCAAACGTGACTGATAGAATTCACTGTGCACCAAACAAAGGACTAGACACACTACACTAGTTACTAACTGGTGTCTAATCAAAAATGTCCACCACAGTCCTACAGGATGTCAATCGTGAGCCCGAATAGCTCAGTGGTAACGTCTCTGGTTGCAGGCGGCACCGGGTGACGTGGGTTCGAACCTCAGAAGGAATATGAGTTCCTTCGAGGTTGCAGATACGCCTTAGTGACTGGCGAATGCCATCTAACACGAAACCTAGATGAAGCAAGGCTTCCTGCCGATAGTCTCCAACTATCCAATATTTTTCTGTGCTTTAAATATCAGCGTCGATTGGGTTAATTTTCTGAGGCAGGATTGCCAGCACCATGCCCAATAGTTCCTATTTTTCCGGCCCTAGAACAGGCCTGTAAACTGGTGAACTGATTCAACACAATGGAGTGAACCAAACTTGTATCAACCCAATTTTTAACAGCTATATGAAGATGCCACATGTTAAGTGATTCACAATGGAAAACTCAGAGATGCCTTTGAAGTGAAGACGGAGGTAAGACAAGGCTGTCTATGATATTCCTAGTTGTGGTAGACTGGATTACATGGAACAGTGTGTATTGGGGGCGAGAAAAGAGGGATACGTTGGCCCTATGAGAAGACTCGAGAAGATCTGGACTTCGCAGACGATTTATCCCTAATGTCAAGTAAATTCGAAGACTTACCATTAAAAGCCAACAAGTTGGTAGAAGAAGTGGCAAAGGTGGGACTTCAAGCGAACATACAGAAGACTGAGGTGATGAAGATAACCAATCATCAACAACCACAACAAGCACCAACCACTATCGATGAGAGAAATTTGAACGAAGTGACTTCTTTCATTAATCCAGGCAGCATATTATCAACTGCAGGCGGAATGGATGAAGTGTCAGAGACAGGACCGGAAAAGCAAGACAGACCTTCATTAATTTGAAGTCAGTATGAAAATCTACTGCATTCAGTAAGAGAACAAGAATAAGGTTTTTAATAATGATGTCAAGTTAGTACTTCTATGTGTTGTACTTAAGAGACTATTGAGTGACAGAACGCGACAGACACATCCTCGAGTGGAATCCCATGGGAAACAAAGAGTTGTGCATTTGTCCGATGGGTGACATGGAGGAGACTGTGTGTCGAAGACATGAAAGCTTATGGGCAGCCGTGCAGATAGTTAAAGAAGACTGCGAATAATAAGATGAAATGAAGAAGTGCTGCTGAAGCCCTATGTTCCACTTTAAACTCAAGCGAGTAATAACAGTTTGTGGTTAATAGTACCCAAAGGTTGAATTGTCATTTCACGTTTATGTGAAATTCTGTCAAAACACTCATTTACTTATTTCTTATTTCTAAACATTACAACTTAAATAAATAAATAATTATTTCCAGTGTGGATTTTGTCAGTGAGAGGACCGTCTGAAACCGTGAAGCACTAGATAATCGATTGTTTTAGTTTAGTCAAGGACTCGTCTACAGTACTGACTCGTATCTAGATGGAAAATCCACTAAAGGATTCTCAATCCAACCACTAGTGTATATATATTATCTCGTTCAGTCTTTTTCACTCCTTTGCTGTCCCAGTGGAACATAAGGCTTCGTGCTTGAAGTTCGGAAATTTCACTAGCGCTTGTGCTGTTCCTGCGGTGTGGGATTGCTAACTTCACACCCAACCTCTTTCTCTTCCAGGCCTTACAACCGGCTAGACGAGGTTTAGGAGTATGTCGGTTGGGAACTGGACCTGTACCACGTGGGCGGTTGACAAGCACTACACTAATGAACCATTGACAAACAGTTTTTTTTGTTCAATAAATATTTGAGTGGGTGAACTGAAATAAATAGTCATGACTAACATTTGAATAGTAGAAGTGTGTTTAACTGGCTTAGGCAGTCGACTTTCAGCCCAATGGTTTCACCTTCGAAGCTTGCTCCACTTTCTTCAGCCTGGCCAATTAATTAACATTGGAAGCCCCCTTAAACAATTTGGATGGCTCATAACCTGATACATGGAAAATCTGTTATTTGCAACTGCCTCCCAGCTAACTTATTAACAGCTGAATGGCGCAGACCATATTATAGAATGTCTATAAAGTTAATTAATACACATGATGGAAATACTTTGAATGCGCGTTTTGTCCCATTCAGGACACATCATCTGGGCATACCTGCACTCTTACAGAGGTAGTGATGCTCCCACTGAGACTTGAACCCAGTACCCATCGTTTCAAACGTCACTGTGGCCCAAGTGGCCACAGGTATAGGTTATTATTTATCTTTAAATTAATTTTTATTTCCCTCTGTATGATTATGTAGCCTAAAGGATAATACTCTGACGTTTAAAATGATGGGTGCGGGGTTAGCATCCAATTGGGAGCACCATCACTCACTGGGAATTCAATTACATCCATCTGGCAAGTTCCAAATATGACAAAATCCCCATGGCCTGAACTTTACTGCTAGTCCCCATCAACCGAAATAAGTTCACGTTCATTCTCAGACGTGTCATCTAAGAATTCATACTAGGAACTGGCATGTCAAAAGAGACCCACTAAATCAGTCAAAGGGGAATGCAAATTGAGTCTAAAAGCAAATATGTGACATTATCCTTAACATACCATAAGAAAACAGAGAATATGATGGTGATGATTCCATTAAATTCTTCTCTTCATCATTTTCACTTCTAAGGTTTATTTCGTGCTGCTGCACCAAGTGGAGCATCAACTGGTATCTATGAAGCAAATGAACTGCGTGATAATGGACAAGAATTTCTCGGTAAAGGTGTACTCAAAGCTGTTAACAATGTGAATAAAATTATTGCACCAGCATTAATTAAAAAGAATTTATGCGTAACAGAACAAACAGCTATTGATGAATTCATTGTTAAAGAATTAGATGGTACACCGAATAAAAGTGAGTTTTTTCAAGTCACAAAATAATAAGTTGTTTAATTTTGGAGTGTTGATTTGCTGGGTTTTGGGTGATTTCAAGTGTGAATACAAACGGAATTCAGTTAGGAGAACCACTGAAGTCCAAGAAGTACTGTAAATATGTTTTATCCTAGTTCGGGACTCTGTCAGATAGTATGCACCCATGATTTCACCAGGTATCTAACCCAGGATAAAACGACTCTCTATTACTTCCTGATTTTCAGTGGTTTTCTAACTGAAGCTTTTTCATGACCGATCTTGAAATCATTCAAATGTCTTTGAACCTACAGCTGAAAATTAATCTGGTGCTCATTGAAGACTGATTACAAGATGAAGTTGCTTGAGGTTCTAGTGAGAAGTCATGGACAGCCGAGTCCATCAAGTTCTGTGGGAAGACAGGCACTCACCAGTGACATTGGCTTGTGGTGGCGACATATGTTGTGGGTTGACAGAAGTTAGAAATCAAGTGACACTTCATTATGACCAAACTTGCACGGGGTTTGATCGACGCGTATTGCTGCAGAGTCAGTAAAAGGCAAGAGACTTAGTATCTCTATATAGCGAAACTGTGTACACTTTATCTCTAAATCGTCATTTGCACAGATCTTCTGTGTTGTGCTACTTCTGCATTTCGTATTTTGTTTCCTTGTCTTCTTTTCGAGTCTCCCATGTTTTGCTGCAATACTGGTTCATTTGCTCTCTTTGACTTTAAATCTATCTCTCCACTATTTGACATTTTTATGCCAATGAACGTCTCTTTATATACTACTGGAATACCTTATCAGTAGCACATGCCACACTAGCACACAACATAAGAAGCAGGATTCGGTTTTTTGGCACTAATATCAAGTCAGTCAGTGCTTCTATCTGCTTCAGAGATGCGAAACATGTGTCATCGAAAGTATTTCTAACAGGTTGAGGACTTTTTCAACAACACCTGACATTTTGGCTCGACAGTGAAGGTCAGATGGCTGACCAGGAAGGATAAGCAAAGGGAACCCTGTCAACGAACCACCCGAGAATCTATTTCCCAATGAATATGCAGAAGGAAACGGAGACGAGTCATATACACTCTGAGGAGATCACGCCAGGTAGACGAGTTGTGAGTCTGTTCAAGGGTCACATGGAAGGGATTGTTTGATGGGAAGATGAAAGGTTATGGAAAATTGTGGAGTCAGTTAAAAAGGACTGTATAGAATAGGATGAAATGGAAATGTGTTGTTAAAGCCCCTAGATTCGACAGGGAACCCAAGGGAATAATGACAACAATATCTTCACATCAAAAACTGTGGAGAATTCACCTCGATAACTGTCAGTGATGCGTATTATTACGTAACCAAATAGATGAAAAGATACAGACTTATGTGTTGACTCTTGAAGGTGACAATAAACCATATCAAGTACGGCTTATTTCTTAAATGTGAATGTATACATACAATTTTCTAGAAAGTTACTGAAATTCCAAACCCCACAGGTACATCAGTTTAATTTCTGTTGATTTTTCAATACTGACTAAAGATGTGCTGCATGTGGTAGAACCGAATCCAAATATTTAAAACTTTTTACGAAATATGATTCGACCGTGTTTGTTTTAGCATAATTTGAGTATTCTAACAAAGTGTTTTTTGCGACCAGTGATTTACGTTTGCAATTTGGAATTTTTTTTATCGTGAATTATGTAATATGCTTTATGAAGTCATAACTACTAAATAACATGTAATATGAGAAATAACAAATATATCGCATTTCAATTTGATTTAATGAACTTTTAGACGAAAATCCAATTGAATTTATTTATTTACTTATTTATTATTGATTTATTCAGCTCATTTAGGCGCTAACGCTATTTTGGCTGTTTCTTTGGCTATACTCAAAGCTGGAGCTGCAGAAAAGGTATGCAGTAGGTTTTATATTATTATTGTTATTATAAATCGTAGTGCATCTTCATGTTACACACGTAACTGATTACCACACATAAATTTTAGAGGAAGTGGTGGGGTTAATGGGTTCTTCTCGCTACTTGGTGGTTCTAGACTTGATCCTTAATGGGGTCAGAGGTGCGCGAATTTGAAGAGTCCCAAACTAGGATGAAATAAGTGTTCAATACTCCATTGTTTTCTATTGACTGTCTAACCGATATCGATTCTTGAGGCATTGCATGTTGGAATTTATCAAGATTCCTACAAAACCTGAAATGTGATTATAAATGAATAGAATGTGTATCTTCTGGTCAATATGTCACTCTTATTATGTCATAAATGGTGAGAGTGGCTAGCAGTGAAATTCATGCAGCACGTCTCGTCCTGCCGATGATTCATCATCTGGATGTGGACGCATCCTGATGAAATTAAGTAATGGGGAATTCAGAAACTCGAATAAGTTGATCACCGCCAGACATCCTTCACTGAGAAAAAGACAACTGGATTCCACCGACATGATTCCACTATTTAGATTTTTCATGGTATCTACTTTTTTCCTCATTTACTTTGGTATCTTTATGCACTAAGTTATATATGCAGTTCTGTTATAACATGGTTTTACTGTTTTATGGTTGTCGTCTAATTCGACTGGAATACACCTCCAGACACAACCACCTGATCACTTGAAAATATCCCCCACACTGAGACAAACATAAAAGTCAGATTTAACTGCTCCAGCGACAACAACAGAGAAAACTTTTATCATTCCAAATACACTGTATACATAGTTTGTAGATCCACTAGAGAATTCAAACTATAAATAAATAGTCGTGTTAGTTGCAAGGATTTTATTTATTATTTATTTATTTTTAATTGTTGATTATAGCTTGCTTCCACACCGTCTTTTTCGTACAAGCATGAAATTTTTAGCATGTGATATCAGTAACCCAAATTTTGCAGGCCGACCATTGATATCAGGTGTGCATCAGCAGGGGGTCGAACCCCGGACCATGTGCATGGTCGGCGACAGTCCTAACCGCTGTGCTACCGACCCACCGGGCTGGTTACTAGCTAACACCAGTTACAGAACCATTGGAAAACAGGGCAGTGCTTGACAACTGTTTCGTCCTAGTTTGGGACTCTTCATCAGGACGCGCCCACCAGGGTTTGAACATAGGACATTCTGGAAGTTGAAATTCATAGACCATTGTGACGGCTCTCAGTGTCTCAACGGCCAATGAGGTTGACTTGTAAGTGGAAGGTCCTGGGTTCGAACCCCGGTGGGCGCGTACTGATGGTGAGTCCCAGGCTTGGACGAAACAGCTGCCCGGTACTCCCTGTTTTTCCAATGGTCCTCTAACTAATATCAGCTGACGATGAAACCCTGTAACCGATTGAATCCAATCCTTGCAAACCAACACTTGATTAACGAGTTCTCTTGACAGACTGATAAATCTCTTCTAATTCCATTCTACCTGCTTTCACAGATACCTATCACTTCTATACCGTATGCTTTCATCATTTCTTTTGCAATAAATGCAGTCTTAACAGCCTCAGAGAAGGTTTGAATACTTAACAGAAGTGCTGTTTACGGGGTAGAATTGCTAGCTTCATGCTTAACCTTCACGTTTTCTGGCTTACAGCCGGTTAGTAAACTAGGCGAGGTTTCAAGCTCCTAGTGAATTGATGAAATCAGAATTGCAGGGAATACTTCCTTAATATATATATATCAGTATAATATAAAATTTAAAACATTCTCTGTTCTGTTCTTGTTTTTGTCTTCTTAGAACCTTCCAGTGTACCGTTATGTTGCAGATTTAGCTGGTAATGTTTCAGTCACTTTACCAGTACCTGCGTTTAATGTTTTAAACGGTGGGAAACATGCTGGAAATAAACTGGCATTTCAAGAGTTTATGATATTCCCAGTCGGTGCAACATCTTTTGCTGAAGCTCTACGTATGGGCAGTGAAACGTATCATCATTTACGTAGAATTATTCAAAGGAAGTATGGTGTAAATGCTTGTAATGTTGGCGATGAAGGCGGATTTGCACCGAATATTTCAACACCGATAGAAGGTATCAAAGAACAGAGAAGAAGGTTTCCTAGTTTGTTTGTTCCACCTTGTTTTAGTTTTTGCTTACATTAATTAGTTAAAGTGACTGGGATGGAAAATTGCACTAACATCTTCAAGCATGTTGCTGGACTATATTCCTTTCACATCCTAGTCAGTTTTCATTCCGACATATTTGAATGGTTTAGGTGAATGTCGGATACCGTTAGACGTCAGCTACTAGTATTTTGAATAGAGAAGTAGTAGGAAGTTCTTGAGTGATTTTAAAGGCAATCCGGTTGGTCGGTCGGTCGGTTTTCGACATAGAACTTTGCACATATGTACGGTAGTTCAAGTCGCCACACTCCCTCTTTGTAGCACACAAAGCAAGAGAAGAAAGTAGGAGAAATGCATATTAGAGACAGTAAACAGAAGTGTGAGACAAAGGAATAGTAATAATGAAGAACAAAACAGTTTCATTGGAAAGGCCATCAATCGGCCACATTTACTATATCTATCAGATATCTACTGTGTATTGATATACCCTTGGGTACACAGAATACCCTCTTAAAGGGACCGAAAATATCACTAATTAGGTATTAATATTAAGGTGAAGTACTTACTTTTCCTAGTTTTTTGGGGAAAATATGCGCCTTACAATTCTCTTGATAAGCTGAAGTTTACAAAGTGAAACTTTTAGAGACGTCATCGTTCCGACTTCATAGCTATACAAACAAACTCAGTGCTCAGAGTGTTCTGGATATTTGTTATCCATTTGACATAATTGTGTTTTATACCCCAAGTTTTTTCCTAACATTAGCCTATTGATAGCCTTTAGAAACCTAAAATAATTCTATTTTGCAGTTATCGCGCAGTCATTTGATCTTTTGCACTGTCTACTGTTTGTGAAGACTAGACTTTCATTGACTGCTAACGCTGATATTACATGGTTGGAGGCAATCGGCAGGAAGCCCTGCTTCATCTAGGTCTCGTGCTATCTGACATTCACTAGTCACCAAGGCATATCTGCAACCTCGAAGGAACTCATGTCACTTCTGAGATTCGAACTCGCGTCACCCAGTGCCGCCTGTAGTCAGAGACGTTACCACCACTGAGCTATTCGGGCTCGTGATTGACCTCCTGTAGGACTTTATTGGATAAGTTTGATTGAACACTAGTCAGTAACTAGTGTAGTGTGTCCAGTCTTATCTTTCGTGTGGACTGAATTCTATCGGTTATCTTTGCAATGTGACCAGCATTCTAGGTAGCTCGCCATTACGGTGCACTTTGAGTTGTTGATGCTAGATGGTTGAAAAGAAGTCACCTAGAATGATGACCACATTGCAAACATGACTGATAGAATTCAGTCTGCACCAAACAAAGGACTGGACACATTACACTAGTTAACACTAACTAGTGTCCAATCAAAGACTGTTTACGTTTCAGATTTATTAGTGAATTTAGTGCTTTTTTTGTCAGAGTTATTTAAAATCTACATATACAACATCTCCATCAACTGTTTTGACTGTTGCTTGAGTCAGTAAGTACTCTCTGTAGTCTGTCTGATCTATCTTTTCTTCTTGTATTCACTTGTCGGTGGTATTATCATTACTGTTATTATTGTGGTTTAGGTTACTATTATTATTATTAGCAATCAGAGTAGTATTCGTGAGTGTATTAAGGTTCAACTTACTCGCTGTCTACTAGATCGCACTACCTGTCAAATGAAATTGGAAGGGAGAAATATGAACTAAACTAGGAAAAGAAACTTAATTAGATCTCTTGCCACTTGTGTCCGACGCATCTGCAGCTCTGATACCATGGAAGAAGAACTAAACTTCCTGAAAGAAACCTTTATACAAAACGGTTACCCATCAAGATTCGTGGACAAAAACATCAGACAAAAAATCCAAAAGCAAGAAACAGAATCTGTGCCAAAAAAGATACTTTATATAAACCTCGACTTCATAGGAGACCTACTCAGTAACGTCCTTAGAAGGAGAATCTCCACCTCTTTAAGAAGAAATTTCTTTGCGGTAACACTGAGAGTAGTCTTCTCTAGTCACCCACTGATCTGCAGAAGCCCAAAAGACAAGATGCCGCACCTGACCACTTCTATGTGTATATATCAGTTCACCTGTTGCTGTGGATCCAGGTACATCAGTCGTTCAACACGTATCCTGTCAAAAAGGGTCAAAGAACACTATCCAGCGTGGCTACAGAAAGGAAGTAATGGCTGCATAAGGAGTGCAATAATAGAACACCTCGTCAACACTGATCATTCCATCTCAACAAACGCCTCCTTCAAAGTAATCTACAAAGTGAATAACAACCTTCCAAAGACAGTACGATTCCGTCTTCTTTGCATCGCAGAAGCCCTAGCCATTCAGTTGGAAGAACCAGAACTGTGCATACAAAGGAAAATTATTCAACCACTTCTACTTTCATTGTAACAACTCTATTGATTTGACTTAACTTTTCTTTGTTTTTTTGTTTGATTTGACTTAACTTTTGTTTGTATGCTTATTTTTCTACTTAAAACCCTTGTGTATTTCCGTATATTTTGTTTCCATGTACACCCTGAGTACAACTCTTTCATTAAACTATTCATGTTATTACGTAACTCTTCTTTAACAGTCGCTTGTGACAACTCATCACTTTTGTTCCTACTCTCTTATATCAACATCCAATTCATTTAAACTAGGAAATCATAAAAATGGGTAGTCCAAAATCTCATAAAGATGAGACTACAAAAGGGGTAAAGACGTAGAATTGGTATAAACATATATATATATATATATGAGTGAATAAAATGAAATTCTTACTGGATTAAGCCTTTATTTCATCATTATTTTAAAAGTATCTCTAAAGATTTGAAGGCCTTTGAAATCGATTGCAAAAATCAATATATATGCAAAAGATAATACAAGCAAAAACATGGTTATTTTTTCAAGTTAGATTGCTAACTGATAGAGTTACTGAGAACCATATATTACAGGGTAGTTGTTTTATCGTAGTTTGGGACTTTTCACCAGTACGCACCAATGACGCTAGCATAGATTGAAAATAGGAGCTTCAGATTGCCAGTCAAAGCCATTCAGTGACTTAAATATAATTGAATGGCTCATGAATTCAAACTTCTGCCAGTTTGCATTTGCTTATATTTGTGATTTACAATTGGTTGGTTGGTTGGTTCGTTGCACTGCAGAGTTTCTTTTTGCTAATTCTTTCTGGCTGGCCATTTGATCTTCAATATGAAGCCAGCGAAGGCGGCAGATGTTGATAAAAGCCTGCAGTAGCCTGTTGGAAATCTTTTTCGTGACACGCTATTCAAGTTTCTGACCCGTATAGAAGGACTGATTGACTTCACATTTGTGCTGAAAATCCGAACTTTGCTCTTCATACTGAGGGGGAGTGCAGAAGATTTCCAAACTGTTTTCTGGCATGTGAAGGCGTATCTTGCCTTTCCGATTCTTCATTCGTGTAGTGTGCTTCTAGTTGAAACGATGCTTCTTAGATAAGTGAAGGAAGTAACCTCTGTCAAATCTCTCGCAATAATGGTGATTGGTGCTGGTTGTTGTTGTTGCTGTGGGTCATCAGTTATCTTCATCACCTCCGTCTTCTCTTTGTTTAACTGCAGTCCTGTCTTCGTTGCCTGCCTCTTCAGCCAGTCTGTTGGCTTTCACCTGCCTGTAAGTCTTTGAGTTTGTGTGATATTAAACATAAATCATCCATGCGCGAGATCCTGGTCTTCTAGAGTCTTATTATTGGTAGTGTGACGCATAATCCAGTCCACCACAATTAAGAATATCATTGTAGGTGATAATAGGCAGTCAACATTGTCTTACTCTTGTATGCACTTCGAACGTCTCGCTGAGTTTTCCGTTGTGGATCACGTGACATGTGGCATTGTCATATAGCTGTTGAATGAGGTTGATAAAGACTTGAGGCACACCGTAGTGTTGATATATATATATGTTTATATATACATATATATATATATATATATATATGAATTCAGTTGATTCGCCTAACTTTTACTATTTAGTCACATAAAATGGACATCTCGACTTTCCCGATCAATTCACACTCAGTCTATCAATGAGAAATCACGAAAACTATATTATTATCACCATTCTTTTGAATTCCTAGTGGAATATAGGGCTTCAGCAGCATATTGCAATTCGATTTTGTCATCTGAAGTCTTGTGTTTATCTGGATCGTTGATTATCCATAAGCTTTCGCTTTCCTTTTACTCGATCTTCTCTATGTCAACCTTCGGCACCTCAACTCTTCACTTCCCATTTAGGTCTCACCCTATGGCCTGACGCGTGATTTTATTCAGCCGTCTCCTCGGGGTGTATTTCATCCATTCCTATTTTCTTCAGTATATTTGTTCACTAATAAATTCTTGGCTGGTTGTTTTTTTGGTGCAAGAGTTCCTTGTTGCTTATTTTTTCTGGCCGACCATCTGATATTTAGCATTAAACCAAGAAAGACAGCTGTTGATGAAAATGTGTAGTCTATTGGGAATGCTTCTTGTGACACGCTTACCAAGTCTTTGAAGAAGTGACTGACATGACATAACTGTTGGCAAATTTAGATGTTATTCTTCATACTGAGTGTATTAATTTCTTACACTAATTTCAGAATAATGAAGGTCTGCCTTACTTCCAGATCCCAGCTTTAACATCCTTAACCCTGTAGCCTGTAGTTAAGACACCAAAGTACAAAAAAATCCATAAGAGAACACAAGTCTAAACGAATAATATGCAAAGGCACTTGAAACATAAGAGCTGATAGTGTGAGTGACTCATTAACTTAATGACTGAAGCCATGGTAATTGAAACAACAATTGTGTAGTGCATCAATCCTAGCATCAAAATACATTTATGGCTTAAATAAATAGAATAAACTGAACTAACTAAATATTTAATTGAATTTTAAATTTTCCCATCGATTGATTGGACCGAACGGGCCGATGGGAAAATCTAAAATTCAATTAAATATTTAATACGACCCGTT